GGCCATGTAACTCTCTGCATGCCTGAGTCCCAGACAGCCCATTAAACAGAGACAGCCCCTGGGAGAGCCATCGGGGACCAGGAGGAGGTAAGGATCACTGCCCCACTTGCTTTAACCCTTGTGGAGACGACAATAGAATACATACCATTGGCTACCCCCACACTGCAACCCAGGACAACAACAATCAGCCAAACATAAATTTAGGTATTATAGCAATGTTAGTTATGTCCCTGCTGGGGTGCTGATGTTGATGATGATTGATTAATCTCAGAGTTGTGCCATGATCTTTCAGAGTTAAGTAATAGTATAATTACCTATATTATACATGTTCTACTGTGCAGAGCTTAGTCTCTGACTTATAACTTCTGGATTATTAAAGTATTTGATTCTAAAGCTTGCTTCCCAGTTCTGAAGTGATCTTACTACTTTTTGGAGAAAAATGTACTAATTTACTGATCTAAATATTGGACTACAGAGTATTATATTATTAAAAAAGTTACATTCCTCTTAATAAAACACTTTAGTCTGGCAGCTTTACTGTCTTTGGGATGTAAGGCCTGGAGGAGGGAATGTTTTTATTTTTGAGGGAGGATTATCATTTTGCACATGTTCAAGTTTGGGTTCAAGTCTGTGTAGTTTATCCCTTCCCTAGGCTGGCTGAACACTAGGTTTCCATCATAAAATAGGCTTTTAAAAGAGAGGGAAGGAGCTTCTGTCATGAAGTTACTGATTATTTCTGATTAATACTTATGTACAGAACTTAATTGCTAACTGCAGTTGATGGGTCTGAATTGTTGGGATATGCAAAACTCGTGAACTGAAATTTGGTGTTTTGCATGCGCTGTAAAATGTTACTTGTGGGTGTGAGTAGAAGGAAAAACCCAAATTCTGTGGAAGCTAATAAAATTCTGGCTGTAATTTTCAGAAGGAGTATTGGCTTTAACTAGCTCCTTTTTAAATGCTGAGTGAGTCTTGCAGTAGTGGCCCAAAGGCTAATTTAGTCACAAACAACTGGAGTATAACAACTAGAGTATAATTTGCTTGTGTTTGTGATTCATAAGATGAAAGAGAGAAACAGTGTATACCTGCAGGAGGATAATTTTCTGGGTTTTTTTATAGCCATAGGTATTATTCTGAAAGTAGTACAGAATACATCTCATAGCATAACTATTTTGCTGCCAACAGTCTTGTGGCTCTTCTCCCTGAGGGGAGATTACCTTAAGGGACTATAGGATTAGGATACATCAGTCTTATTATACAGATTTAGCTGGTCTGTTACAGGTTCAGTCATTTAGATGATATGCTGATGAGTAAGGTATTCATACTTTCAAGTAAGATGAGTTCTGCTTGAAGTTCTTTACAGACAGGTGATGTCTGGTCAGTGACTGGTATGTGCTAAAAGCAAAAAAGTGAACTGTACTTTGTTAGGGTGCAGTATATAAAACAATTGAACAAATATTTGCATAGTTTAGAGGAGTTGGTTTTCTGCTTAATTTTGAAGAAAGTGTTTGTTCCTTGTATAGCAAAGTACTTTATGGGATGAAAACCTTATCAGTTTGTGCTTTTGCCTTGGTAAGGTATTGTTAGAAGGATGAACAGTAGGAAATAGCATGTGGTTGAACTGTGTCTATGCTATATCCTACTTGGAGCAACTTCAATTGTTTTCCTAAAGATTTTGTTATTTTGGAAGTCGTAAAGCCTGTTCATCCAGCAACCGTCCTCATGGTTTCTACAGTCTTGACTCCTAGTCGGTAAAATCACACCTCGACTAAAGATTTGCGTAAAAAAAAAGTTAAGTCAAATGAACTCTCAAAATAGTGGGTAAAATCACAGCTCGACTAAAGATTTGCATAATAAAAAGTTAAGTCAAATGAACTCTCAAACCTTGCCAAAGGTAGCTGAATTGCGTGGACATTCAGCTGGGAATTTCCTTTGGTTTTCATGAGCTAATCTTGGGTCACAATTTCAGTAGAAATGTACACTGGGTGAATTTTGGTGTAGATGCACATGGCATGCGATTCTGTCCTCAAAGAGGACCTGTTTATTTTCTGAAGTAACAAAATCATATTTAAGCCTAAATCTTCCTCCTTTTGCACCTGTCATAAATTTTAATAAACATTGAGCCTGAGGACTTGTAGACTCTGAGGAGTACTCTCAAGCTTACTGCAATTCAGAGTGCATAAGCCTGAGGACATGTAGACTCTGAGGAGTACGCTCAAGCTTACTGCAATTCAGAGTGCATGTTTAGGAGGTAGACGAAAAAGAATTGTGATTTTATTTCTTCCTGAGCTTTCCCAGCTGCTTGACTGGTTGGTTTTGTCTGAGAAGCAGCAGAGGTAGTTCTGTGTGAGGAAGCTGTTGCTTGTTTGCCGGTGATTTGCAAGATGTTTACATTCCCTTGAATGTGATAATGACTTTAGCTACTGCCTTTCACTCTAAGTAATTGGCCTTTCAGTGTTTTAAATTTTGAAATGTGACTTTGATTTTTTAGGCTTTGTAATATTCTCAATTTTCCTCCAAACTTTCATGCAAGTTCTGAGAATTAATTTTGTTACATGTTACTTGCAGTCACAAAAGTTTGGTGAGTAGCAGTATTTGGAAGCATGTCTAGGAAGAATAGTCTCTTATAATGACAGCTTCTGAGATGAAGTATACAAACCTTCTTCTTCCATCACAAAAGTTTGGTGAGTACCAGTATTTGGAAGCATGTCTAGGAAAAATAGTCTCTTATAATGACAGCTTCTAAGATGAAGTATACAAACCTTCTTCTTCCTTTTTCCTGGTCAGGAGGTATTGATGAAGATGTTGTGGTGATCGAAGCATCCTCCACTCCCCAGGTCACTGCTAACGAAGAAATAAATGTTACCTCAACAGACAGTGAAGTGGAGATTGTCACAGTTGGTGAAAGCTACAGGTGAGATTTGCATCTCTTTGTATTAATACAGTTTTTGTTTGACTTCAGGTTTGTCACAAAGCTCTGTATCATTAGAAGACAATAAGGAAATGTCACTGAAATTCTAACCAGGATGCAGGGTGTGCATTTTTGATTAAAAAACCCCAAAGCAAACAAAACCCAACAGCAAAAAAAATCAACCCCCCTAAAAAGTAACAAACAAAAAACCCAAACCACAGCCTTGCCAAAGCCTGACAATTCAGCTAATCTGGAGTTGCTGAGGTGCAGCTGATGGGCAGAATTTTGAGGAAGCCAAGCTGTACAGTGAGAGAGCCAAGTGTAGGCTGAGTTGACTATCTAGGGATTAGCTAAGCTTTTCTCAGGAAAGCATCCTGCTTTTTTGAAGCTGCTGCTGTGTATGCTTGCCAAGCTGTACGGTGAGAGAGCCAAGTGTAGGCTGAATTGACTATCTAGGGATTAGCTGAGCTTTTCTCAGGAAAGCATCCTACTTTTTTGAAGCTGCTGCTGTGTATGCTTCCCTGTTCTTCCATGCCTCTCTGGAAGTTCTGTGTTTGTCAAATTTTACAGAATCTATTTGAGTAAAGTTCCTTGAAGAAGAAAACTCCAAACTTGATGAAAGATATTTTTAAAAAGAATAAACAGATTTGTACCTTCCTAGCACCAGTAAGAAGAGTTTTCTGTGGGAGCCTTAATAGACTTGAAAAAGTTAGTTCTTTCTTCCCTTACCTTCTGCAGTGCTACAGCCAAAACAGCAGCAACTCCATGGTGATTTGTGCAGTGGGTTTTGTTTGGTTTTATTGAAGTCATTCCCTTTTCTTCACATTTTCCTCTTCTGAATTGCTGAAGTCTGTAGTACCTTGTTTTTCCAAATTGGAAAATAAGAGCCACTTGATTTATGTAAATAATGGAGAGTTCAAAGGGTTTTGAGAGTGAAATGGTCAATACACTACTGTAAAAATATTGTTCCCTTAATTGAAGTCTATCTGTATTAAACTCCAAAGCATCATTGCTTTGAGTTTGGATTTGTATGGCTAAATTGAACAGAATGGGTGCTGAGTGTTATGGTACAGAGATAAAGCCATTCCTTTCCTTAGGTATGGTTTCAGGCTTGTGATTTCCTCTCCTCAAACCATGTTTCATTTTGGTTTATTCAAGTATGGATGTGGTTTCAGGCTTATGATTTCCTCTCCTCAAACCGTGTTTCATTTTGGTTTATTCAAGTATGGCACAAAACTATGTTTGTTCTTAGAGGATGGGGAGCAAAATAATGTTAGAGAGAAAAGGTGTTTGTTCTTAGAGGACAGGGAGCAAAATAATGTTAGAGAGAAAAGTTCAGACATATTGCACTTTTAGGATATTTTGGACATTTTGAAGTATAGAAATTACACTCTGAAAATACTCTGTCACAAGTCAATATACAGAGTGCTTAATACTTACAAATTTTTATTGTCTGTACAATTCTGTCATAATTTATAGATCTGCATAGGAACAGTACAGGATTTGGAGACTTCACTTGCAAAGTTAAAACAACATCAGCTCTATCTGCTGCCTGGCTGTGGTCGTAGGGTTTCACAGTGAAGTTTTTATAAGTTGCCTGTTTGTACTTCATAGTAACATGGTTTAAAGACCTTTAAACTGTGGGTATTTGCTGTTATGTTATCTGCATATCTACATATATCTGCAGTAGTGTTTGGGAGGGCACATGTAATGCATGTGGAGTTGTGAGATATTTCAGTATAACAAAATACTTTTCTACTAATAAATAAAACCCCAACCTCAAATCGCTTGTCAAACATGAGTAGAAAATAATAATGACTAAATTTGGATTGATTCTTAAGGTGTTTAACTTTTTTTAAGGTCTCGTTCCAGTCTTGGCCACACAAGGTCCCACTGGGGCCAGAGCTCTGGCTCTCACCCTGCACGGCCTCAGGAGCAGCGAAACCGCAGTAGGATCTCCACAGTCATCCAGCCCCTGAGGCAAAATGCAGCAGAGGTCGTGGACCTTACTGTGGATGAAGATGGTAAGTTGCACTGGTCAGAAAAATCTCTTCCAGGAGCAGGATGGCCACTCTAAGGGGAGTGGAGTTAATTGCATCAGTTATAAGGTACCATTCTATGAATGTCTAATTTCCAAGCATGTCAGAAAATCCTCTTGTGGCCTTCCTTTTTAAAATTAAGAGTTTAGCCATTTCCAGTGGGTCTGCTTGATCTAATTTTTCTTCCAAGGCTGCCTTGGGTGTGTGTCTGAGGGCTGACTCACCAGGCAGAAATTACAGAACAGGTTGGAACTACTTCTTGAAAAATATGCACTTACTTCAGTTCAGCACTATAAAAGGAAAATCTATCGTTGCCTATGCTTTGGAATAGTTATGCTTTGGAATAGTTACTGTTCTTTCAGGCCTTGCAGCAAAAAATATTTAAAAAAAGAAAAAACCTCAATCCTAAACTAGTCAAATATGTTAAGTTTGTCTCCTAACATTAAAACCTGCTGGCAGTTAATAAGAAATTCATAAGAGCAGCCTCCAGGTGTTGTCCAAAAGTTGAGAGAAGGAAATACTGAAGACAATGCACATCTTTGCACATTTGTTTTTGATGATGGTGGTGGGTTTGGGGATTTCTTGGGTGCGTGTTACCTGTAATGTTTAACAGGAGTTTTGTCCTGGTGTGGTTTTGTCCCTGAGTGCATTGCAGGCTGTGTCTTGTTCTTCAAGTTGTCTTTTTTTGGGGTGTGTGTTGCAGAGTTGGAAAGGCTTGGGAATAGTTTTCGTTGGTTGATAGTTTTTAAGGAAGAGAATGGGTTGGTTTACAGGTTGTTTTCTTTATGGATTTACCATGAAATATCCCAGCAGCTCTGTTGTTGAAAGGGCATAAGCTTCTGTTGCTTTAATTTACTCTTAAAACTCAAATGATACAAATTAGTCTTAAATTCAGGAACCAAATTATTTAAACAAATATTATTACTGAATGACCATTACTTCTGTAATGTGTATATTTAAGACTTGCTGTTTCTTCTGTCTCCTAGAGGAAATGCCTTTCTAGGATGAGTCTTCCAGGATTTCAGGAATATTATTTTTGGGTTTAGGCATCAAATTTCACACATGAGCTAGTGTAAAATGATAAAACTCCTGAATTAACATGGTTACAAGGCAGCTGTGCAGTTTATCATAACTGTACTGGTTTCTTCAAAGATACTGGTCTTAAAACTTTGCTGGCTGCTCCTATGAGCGTAAGGATCGTGTCTCCATCTACCCTCCTGGATGGTAGATGGTCTGTGAATTGTGTTAAGAAATTGTTTCTCTTAGCCATAAGTTTGAGATTAACCAAACTCACTGTCTTTTACTGTTTTTTTGGGGGAGAAACAGAACTGGCTGATGGTGAGGCAGTAAGAGGCTGGTGGAACTGGGAATGGCTGATGGCAGGAGTGCTGTCAGAAGCCATTAGCATTCACACTTGAGCACTGTGATCACTTCTCATTGTAGGCTATACATGTCCTATATAGTTGCTGGCTTTTTCTGAATTGAAACATTAATGCATTTCTCCCCAAATGTTCTCCTTTAAATAAAATTACTGTGTTGGAATGCTGCATTAAAAACCAAAGGAATTTAAATGTAGGTATCAGGTCATGTTTTTTTAATGTGATGAGTTGGAAGACTTGCAAGAGGGGAGATATATTTATTCCTTTGCTCGCTGAGTTGCTGATGCACCTACTAGATATAGAGAGAAATCTTGAAAACTAGTCATATTTTATTTTGAGACTTTGTGTAAGAGAAGTATTTGAAGCTTTTTTGATGTTTTTTTCCCTGATATCCAGGCAGACGTTTCTACTAAAAAAACCTGGGCTGTTTCTGATGATCTTCCCTTTTATGGTATCTCATATTCCCAGTCATGCCATTGCCTTGTCATTAATTACAGAGACATTTCAAACTTAGTAAAAAAACTTTTTCGAACCAAACTTTGAATTATGTGACTAAATACAGTTTTAAATTTTCACCATGAACCTTGCTTAGAATTACCTAGTAAAGGACAAGCTCTCTCAAGTGTTTGTATTTCCCTGGATCCATTAAATATGTTGCTCAGTGTTACCTTTGCAATATGTAAAATGAATATGTATGTACTTTTAGGAGAAGTCTCAAATGCTGATAGTTAATCTGCTGTAATGTGTTGAGACTAGGAACCAGGTTTACCTCGCTGAAGCCTTTAGTTCTATGCATCTAGAATGACTGAAGATTGTAAAGTAGTACTGCTAGTTTAAATGTTGTCATGGTGCTCTTGGTGACTGTTCTAAATGTTTTTCTGTGCTTTGTAAGTGTTAAGAAGTTGTAAGGGTAATACTTAATCATAGAGTAGTTTGCCTGTGGATTTATGGAAGATGTCAGCAAGTGTCTTCATCATAAAGTAACTTAATCTTCTTTCTAGTAGGTTCTTTTCATTCAGTAAATAAAACTTGAATGTTGGATTTGGTTAGGAATTGATTTTATGTTAATTCTTAAAATTTGACTAGATTAAAAAAAAAGAAGAAAATTTTACTTTTCTTTCCACGCACGAGTGAAAGAGAATCACCTTTTGTAGGTTGTGCCTGTCAGACTTTTGTGTTCTGACTTTCTTAGTTTCTGGCAAGGCCAGTTGATAATTTCTTGTATCATAGTTTAAAAGCAGAAACAACAATAAAAAACCCTCAGCAGCTTTTAAAGCTTAGAGAACATGAAAGCTTTTTTATTTCTCTAGAGCCGACAGTTGTGCCAACCACATCAGCTCGAGTGGAGCCACAGGTCGTGAGTTCTGCGTCCAGTAACAGTTCTAGTACGTCTACCTCAGAGCAGGCCTCTGATGCAGCTCCAAGTGTCTCCAGCAGCAGCCAGCCCTCTGCAGCACCAGAGACAACTTCCAGTCTTCCCAGTGCTGGCACTGCTGGTACTTCAGCTGGAGGTACAGAACAAAGAGCTTTCTGAACTGTTGTGTTGCCTCTGAGTAAAAAGGAGGTAGAGGGAGTTAATCAGCATCTCTGCATTGTGGCACGTGAACTTCTAGTCCTGAGTGAACAGTACTAAGTTGAGGGGACAGGAATCTGAAAAAGACCATTGATCTCTCCACAGAGATAAAGGAAATTGTGCTGGTGTCTTCTGCTTTTGCCAGTTGGAATGATTTGGTTCTATGTAACAAACTACATCCTTGCTTTTTGAGGAGATAGAATGTAGTTCACTAGGAATGAAGTCTCCCACTGCTGCGGCTTACAGGGGTTTAGTATGAGTTGTAAGGAAATGAAGGATTTATACAGATTGCTTGAACCTCCCACTGTAAATTTCTTCACTGGGAGCACATTTATACAGACCTGTAATAGAGCTGTATATGCAGGTAGCATTCATAACATCACTGTGCCCTATCTGTGACTGAGGTGAGGGACAAAATCCTGAGTGGGCCAGAGTTACACAAGAGTTTTGGGTCTCTGCACACTAACCACAGGGACAATCTTTCCTCCTTTCCCTGCTGATTACATGCCTTACATTAGTCAAATAAGCCAAGTGTCAGTTCACGTCCTGCAGTGGTTCGTACATCCACCTCAACCACTCAGTTTTGGTTCCTTAGGCAGAAGTATCCAGTTTGTTTTGTTTTAGTCTAGAATTGTTCTTCAGTGGGTGAGTTATTTAATTGTGAAGTGCAGGGTGGGATTTGTCTCTATTTAAGACACTACTGTTACTAGCTTTACTAATTTCTTTCACTTCAATGTTAACTTCCTTTATCTTCAAGATGACACAAGGAGAACAGCATCTAATACGACACTGGAAACTGGCCCTCCAGCCATGCCAAGGTTACCATCGTGCTGCCCTCAGCATTCTCCTTGTGGAGGACCTTCACAGACTCATCATGCATTGGGGCACCCACATACAAGCTGCTTTCAGCAGCATGGCCACCACTTCCAGCATCACCACCATCACCACCACAACCCTCACCCTTCTGTTCCGCTGTCTCCTCCGTTCAGTGACTCCAGCTGCCCTGTGGAAAGGCCTCCTCCAGTGCCTGCACCATGTGGAGCAAGCAGCAGTTCTGGCACCAGTTACCACGAGCAGGCATGTGTAATTCTTGTGACTCTCTCACAATCATGACTTGTGACTTGGGATTTTAAGTTGTTACAGATATGATAGAATAGGATGCTAAATTATTAATTAATCTTTTGTTCTTCATCAGGCATTATAGAAGGGAACTAAAAGGAAGATTTGAGCTGTAATAGATGAAGACAAAATCCTGAAATTTTATAGAAAGTCATAATCCAGCAAGTAGTCATTCACAGCTGATGTTCTCTTGGTGACTGTAAGATGATAGTGACCTTTTAAGCAATCCAAACATAAGTGCCTTGAAATACTCTGCCCATCACAGCAGTTTTGCAATGCAAGTAATTGGGATGCTTTAAGGAAGGAAAGCATCAAATCTAATATTCTGTTTATAAAAGGTGCAAAAAAGCACTGGTTTATAAGACCTTTTCAGTAACTAAAATCAGAGCTTGAAAACTATACAGTGACAAGAGAGAAGAGTACTGTGCAAACTTAATTTACAATATGCAGAGCTATCAATCTGGTTTCTGTTTTAAGTGCAATACGTTAAGCACTACTGAAATCATAAAAGTGGTTTTTGCATCCAAATATTTCAATGCATGTATATCCCATATGCTTATTGGCTTATCTGTCACCAGGTTTTTGCTGGGATTTTTGGTTTGGTTTGTTCTACAGAAACCAGTGTAATGAATTTAGTCTCTCACCTGAATCAAGAATTTAGGAATAAGAAATGTTAACCATATTTAAGTAATTTTCCAGAGTTGAGCCTTAAAAAAAGTTTGATCCCAGTTGCTCATGATAGTATTTATTTTTCTCTTTCATAACATTGTTTGAGTGTGGTTTTGTTTGCTGTGTCTGATGAATTGCTTGAAAAAAGCTGGTTTGTTTATGCAGCAGGCACTGCCAGTAGACTTAAGCAGCAGTGGTATAAGAAGCCATGGAAGTGGTGCTTTTCATGGAACATCTGCTTTTGATCCCTGCTGTCCTGGTTCTTCATCTCGAACTACAATCTATGGGCATCAGGCTGGTGCTGGCCCGAGCCAGTCCATAACAATAGATGGATATGGATCGAGTATTGTTGCACAGCCACAGCCCCAACCACCTCCTCAGGCCTCGCTCTCCTCCTGTCGGCACTACATGCATTCTCCTTGTAAGTACTGATAAAACAGCTCCCCTGGCAGCATGTGAAAACTCTTACTGTCTGCTTGCATTGGGCTCAGAACCGGCCTAGCAAAATACATACTAAGAAATCTACTTAAACAGATACTCCTATGTAGAGGATTCAAACAGGATCAAGGTAAAGGAAAATATTTTCTTCTGAGTGACCATAATAACATTTAGACTTCAAAACTGTATTATTATGAAAATATTCTTCATCTCCTTTTGTACTGCCTTTTTATTTAGTTTGCCTTGGTTGTTCCCCCATCCCATCCCCCCAGTGAGTTCTGCTTTAGTAAGCTCAGAGAGTCAACTTGTTTTTTTGATTGTGATTTCTTTTTTTAATTTTATTGTCTCTACAGGATAGTGAACTTGAAAAGAGGGGATTGAACTTTTAAAAATTAAACGACAGACTTGAAGTACATTTTGAAGGGGATTCTTCCCCTCTACTCCACTCTTGTGAGACCCCACCTGGAGTACTGTGTCCAGGTTGGGATTCCTTAGCATATGAAGGACATAGACCTCTTGGAATGAGTCCAGAGGAGAGTCATGAAAGGTGCTCTGAGGGCTGGAGCACCTCTGCTATGAGGACAGGCTGAGAAAGTTAGAGTTGTTCAGCCTGGAGAAGGTTCTGGGATGACCTTACTGTGGCCTTCCAGTACCTAAAGGGAGGGGCTCCAAGAGAGCTGGAGAGGGACTTTGGACAAGGGCATGCAGTGATAGGACAAGGGGAAATTGCTTTAAAAGAGAGTACATTTAGACTGGATATAAGGAAGAAATTCTTCCCTGTGAAGGTGCTGAGGCACTGGCACAGCTTGCCCAGGGAAGCTGTGGCTGCCCCATCCCTGGAAGTGTTCAAGGCAAGGTTGGATGGGGCTGGGAGCAACCTGGGTGTCCCTGCCTGTGGCATAGATGTTTGAACTAGGTGATCTTTAAGGTCCCTTCCAACCCAGACCATTCTATGTACCTTTTTCAGTGTGCATCCCACAGATGTATTTTTTTCTTTTTGCCAGCACTGGCAAACAATACTGCTGCAGAAAGTATAGATTTCTTGTAGAATATAATGCTAGAATCACTTTATTTAAAAATCGCATAAACACATATTCCCATGTTGCCACTGTGTACTCTGGTGTAATAATACTGAAGCACCTGTGTGAAGATACTTTTTAAAATAAATTTAAGTCAAAACCTGCTTCTGACCAAATTAAAAGCACCTGATGTTTTCATTGCAGATGCTTCTTTGACCAGACCTCTTCACCACCAAGCTTCTGCATGTCCTCACTCTCATGGAAATCCTCCTCCACAGCCACAACCTCCACCTCAAGTAGATTACGTTATCCCTCATCCAGTGCATCCCTTCCATCCTTCAATCTCCTCTCATGCATCTTCTCATCCTGTTCCACCTCCACCACCAACTCATCCTTTAGCCAATGCAGCTGCTCCCATACCACAGCATCTTCCTGCAACACACCAGCCTATATCCCATCACATCCCTGCAACAGCACCTCCAGCACAGAGGCTACATCCTCATGAAGTGATCCAGAGGATGGAGGTCCAGAGAAGAAGAATGATGCAACACCCAACGTATGTCACAAATGTACTCAGAACAATATCTAAACATATAATTCATTTCCCTCAGGTTTGTAAAATGTTGCATGTGAATCTCAAACTGTTAATTGCATGGTTAGGAACTGCTAATATTAAACCATGGTAAGGAGTGTCTTACATACCGTCACAGTCGCATGAGCATTAAGGCTGAACCTGCTCCGTTACATCTCTCAGTAATGTCTCCAGGTAAGGCAGAAATGGGGCCTGATGGACAAGTGGAGCTTATTTTTCTCTTGCCCATTACTCATCCTCTGGATAACAGACAGGAATTCCTTTCTAAGCTGGACAGCATAGAATGTACATCATAAGCTCCATTCAAATGTGTTCCTTGAGAGTGTGTTTTGCCTTGCTGATGCCATTAGGATTATTTTTATCTAACTAATGCTTTACAATAAAATGAACAATTTAACATAAGCGTCCATATACTTTAGATACTCACATGGCTTTGCTATGTCTTTAGAAGGCAAGGAGGAGGCTGAATAATACCTGTATGAGAATGTGACTAATGTTGAGATGTAGCTTTGGTGGCACTGTGTAAGACTTGCCACCGTTGTTGCTAAACTAGATTCATGGCACTAGTGTCAACAGGTATCAGGTCAATGGTAGCTTAGTATTCAATCACAGAGTAACTGAAGTTACTTTAATTCTGGAGATAATGGTTTTAAATATCCAAGAGAATTTCAAAAATTTCAATTAGTTGTTGTTCCTTTGTTAGACAAATTCTGTTGGTAACTAACTTAAAACTGTTAATGGTTGAACAGAATTATGCTTTAACTGCAACTTTTGGTGCAGTTTACGGGTAATTTATAAAGATATGTGTAGGCAGTAACTGCTCACAAAGTGGCAAATGACAGACAAGACAGTGACTGTGAGACAGCAAGATAGTAGCTTAAGGAAAAATAATAGTGGTAGCTATCTTACCAGATCTGGAAATTTTCCAGTAGTTTGGGGATTGATTGGAATTGTGACTATTGGTATGTCTTAGCCTAGTGGATTTCCTTTCCATGTGTAGAAATTGTAGTCATATGTTGACAGTAGATTCCTCCTCGACATTCCCTCTGGAGTCACCAGTCTTGGGTCTCTATAGTGTTGGTTTGTAATTGTGCAGAATTGTTCTGCCCTCGGTCTTTCTTTTCACCTCTAATCCTCATACAAATTAGATGCAAAATCAATCTTGTAGATGTTTTGGCCCAACCTCTTATAAGATTATGCTCTGACAACTGGAAACTTCTCACATAACTTATACAAGCCTGGCAGGTTTCTCTTGGAGACGTGTCACTTTCCAGTTATCAGAGTAGTATGCTGTGCTGTTCAGTAAATTTTCACCTTGCTAGGCCTGGAAATTTACAAAATGTCTAGTCTACTTTGTCAGACAGTTTAGGGTAGTTCTGACCCTGTAGAATGTGTGCTGCTTTTGGCCAAGTCCAAGTTTTGTAAGTTGAATAAAACACCATCCTTTCTGCATTTGAAAGCAATGGGGTGGGGGGAAATCTAATCCATTTCTTTCTGTGACTGGCAAGTGTTAAAGGAACAGAAGTCAGCCAGCAGGTTTTCTGAAGGTTTTTTGCCAAAGCCATAATTGTTCTATACCTGCTGATGTGGAAAAACCTGTGTGATTTTATGACCTGAGCGATGACACAAACATATTTCAAGGAAACGTGCTCCAATTAGTGTCTTAAGTTTCTCCTAATTACTTTTGCTAGTACAGTTTTACTAGAAATAAACTGCAGCATAGCTGTGAATGAGTCTGAATCTCAACATGACTCTCATGTGGCCTTTACTTTTTTTACCTGCTCTTTGAGGTTAGGATCAAGCACTTTGTCATGTAGTCTGTAGTCACATCTGCCCAGTGAAGGACAGATCACTGTAGCTGAAGTTAACTTTGGTTTTGAATATGAAATCTGTGTTACAATTGGTTTCTAACCTATATCTAAAGTTGGAATTGAAATACTGCATGGGGAGTTTCTTATTTTAAAGGCATTGCAGTAATTCAGTCTGTAACACTTTGGGTATGGGTGTTGCTTTCTTGATACTGACAAGTATGTGAAATTAACTGTTGCTGTTTTGTGTTGTTTAGACGTGCTCATGAGCGACCTCCTCCTCATCCTCACAGAATGCATCCCAATTATGGGCATGGGCATCACATTCATGTGCCTCAGACTATGTCTTCCCATCCTCGACAAGCTTCTGAGAGATCTGCCTGGTTAGTACTCAGACACTATTTTAGCTCTTTGAGACTCGGAATAGAAGAGCACATTATGCTGATCACAGTGCTGATAATGCTGGCTGTGATTTTAAAAGTGCTGCAGGCACCTGTAGTTTAAAATTTATAGATGCTGATCTGGCTTTGAAATACTGCTTTGAGTACTCAATATCTTAAATATTTCTAGCGGGTTTTATCCATTGCTTTTAAAATGAAATTGGGTGTTACTGACTCTAGGGTAGTTACTTCAAGAATTGATTCTAAAAATAGGCAGCTAAAACATTGCTGAGGACTCTCTATGTTTATGTTTGTAAAATAGGGGTTTGGATTTGAGTCATGAACTAGTATTTTCTCTTGGCACTTTGTCTGAAGTGTTTTTAAATTGCATCAGCCCTGCTGAAAAGTTCTACAATATATTTATTCTCAAAAATAAATACTTTTGACCACTAGGGAAGAGATGCATGCATGGCAGCTGCTGTTCCCACAGCATGCCCTGCAGAGAAGACTCTATGCAGATAGTATTCCTGGGCACAATAAATGTGGAGTTGTCTCTGCTAATTCATTGTACTAACTTTACAACTGATTTAAAAACAGTTTTTAGTCATGGCAGGATTATTCTTTAGCAATGTTTAAATAAGGGTAAAACACTTCTTATGTAAAGCTGTGATGGTAGCTGTGCTGTGTTGTAGGCTTTCCCAAGCAATGGATTTGTACCTAGAAGGCAAGATGTACCAGTACTGTAATGCCACTTCTATTCATGTGACAGGGAACTAGGAATTGAAGCTGGTGTGACTGCAGCTACTTACCCTCCAGGGCCTTTGCATCCTCACTTGGCTCACTACCATGCACCTCCTCGACTTCATCACTTGCAAATAGGGGCTCTTCCTCTAATGGTAAGGAGATCATTTTTCATAAGGTGTGATCATTGGTCATTGTAATTTTTTTCTCAGGAAATTGGGCATGTGTGCATTGCTGCAAAGTGCTTCAACTGAAGAAGAAAATACTTCCCTATGTCTGTGTGTTGCTCTCAGCTAGGGAGCTGGAGTGCACTCTGTGTCATAAGAGAAAACAGTATAGGACATTAACATTTTTAACTTCAGCTCTTGTAAAATGAAACATACTTGAATTAAATTGTCACTTGCATTGCAATGCATTGACCCTCTGCATCTGATTTTTAAAGTTCAGATTCTGATTTATTAAGCTTTGGATTGTTAAAGGTACCAACTTTACACCCAGTGCATGAGGATTAGCACTCATGCTTTCTTTTTAAGTTGTGTATGCAGCACAACTAGAATTCAGTCTAGAGATTTGGTTGTTTTCAAATAATATTTGGTGTTCATCAACCTAATTCTATATGATAAAGTATATACATCTGTAGCTCATATGAAGTGTTATAAGCAACAGGAAGTGTAAGGGTAAGCTAGTCCCTTGTCATAACTTTTTTAATCTACAGTAGAAAACCAAAACAGATCAGCATAACTTTATTACAGAGTATTATTTTTGAAAGAATGTAGGTTTATTTAAAATTCTTATTAATTTTGTTTGATAAAAATTCAGAGACACAAATACAGTTTAACAATGTTTAGTGTTTCTGTGTGGTTAACCAATATTATTTAATCCTTCTAAATCTAGATACTGTAATCAAAATTGTGAGTTCATCTGTAAATGAATGCTAAAATTCTAATTAAAAAAACCCAACCTCTGCAAGTCTGGTCCTTCCCAAATTCCTCTCTTAGTAGCCAGAATTGGCATCTGGGGGTTGAACTGTAAATTTACAACCAAACTGTAATCAGTGTCTCCAGTCTGGTCTTACATTGCTTATTCCTTGCTCTTTAACTGACAGACATAATAATCCTTGAGTACTGCCCTGATAAATGAGGGTTGGTAATTCTTTGATGCACAGATGTCACAGACTTTCTAAAGCAGTCTGTAGAATTTGATATTTTAGAGTAGCCAACAAGATTCTTACTGCATCACCTTAGCTCCTTTGCATTTTCTATTCAAATTAAGGTTTTCTGCATTCTTCTTCAGCTCGGTGTCTGTTTTTTCAAGTGGGTGAAAATTGTCTTCCCTCTCTCACATTTATTTCACATATTGTACATAAACATCAGTTGGTTTAGATTCCCAAAGAGAAAAGGCTCTCCTAATAGTCCAGGGAGCTGCAATGGCATTAGGAGGCAGCAAGATAAACATATGCCTGTTTTAGTTCATTTTCTGTCAGGGCTAATAAGTCAACTGTCTGGGATTTACTTGCACTATTGCTGTGAAGTTTCTAGAAACTTAAGAGTTCAAGTGATCCTTGTATTGCAGTGTGATGAAAAAATTCAGTGTTTTAACTTTAATTGGGATATTCCTACAACTAAAATGCTAGATAAGCAAGTAATTGAGGGACCTCACTGTTCATCAGCACTTTAGCAGTAGAACAGAAGAAAGCTGTGATAGAGAATCTTCAGAAGTATTTCCTGGATGTGTCATGAAATATTTTTAGAGACTCTTGCCCTTCTGCTCAGTAACTGCTGTTTCTAATTGGTAAAAGTGCAGATGAAAAAAAGGTTCTTTAACTCTACAGAAATTTGTGCATGTGTTTGTGTAGGGATATCTAATCCCTATAACAGGAATTCTGAGTGTCTGAAGTTTTTTGAGGTTCTGTACACACTGCACTGACAGCAGGTTTTACCATGTATAGGCTGCTGTAGCAGCACTTCTCAAGTGCTTGGGATCTGTTTTGAACCTTGCTGTGATCAGATCGAGGGTTGTGACTTTGAAGTTGTGTTCTGAGTCTGAGTGATTTTTTTTTTTTTTTTTTAGGAGTATTCAGATTACACACACTAGAAAGGTTAGAGCACTGCTAGAAGTTATATATACAGTGAGTTCAAAGCATTACAAATGCCTTTTGATGATTCTACCCCTTCTATGCAGTACCAAAAATCAAAGTCTTAATTTCTGTATGTGAGAGTACAGTGGATCTGTCAGCAGAATTGATTTTGAATAGAGAGAAGTAGTTAGTGAAGTTTTTCATCTAACAAACTTCACTAGATATTAAACAAAAGTGCCATTTTAGGCCACAGATTAATTGTGGCTGCCACCTGTTTGTTATATCCTTTGTAACTTGAGGAATAGGGGAGGAGAGGCTGAACTGTGGTTAGAGTCCCTCTGCAAAGCAGATAATGTTCTGAGGTGTGCTTGCCTCTTTCTGTAAGTACAGAGGGTACTAAACAGAAATTTCCAAGGCTCAGTACTTATATTTTTGATGCAGATGTCACAAGCTTTTGCTATGCTTTTTTTTTGAGAGTTGCCTTAAAGTATCTGATGTAGTTGCTCAACTAAAAATTTCATTCATGTTGACCCCATGTTCTGAAATAGCATCAGCCCAACTGGCAGTGTGCATTTTTTCCTATCTCTTGTGGAGTACTGAAACCCCTTCAAACTACTGCCAGACTGTAAAGGGCATAATGTATTGTCTGGGCTTTAATGACATTAGCACTCTGATATATCCCTTTCTGATTTTAATTGTATGCAGATAATCTAATATTCACCTAGACAGTGCTGGAATATAGACAGCCGTTTTAGTTCTCAGGGAGGCAAAATGATAAAGGTATGTGGGGGAAGATAACCAGTGTGTTCAGCAGCTTTGGCTGTGCAAATAAAGGGTCAGAGAAACAAAATCTCCTTTTCTACTGGCTTGGTTAAGAAACTTTTTACTTGTTTAAATGTTGCTGGATTAAAAGCAGTTAGAAAAAGCTTGCTTCATATTTATGTAGGGCAAGGGTCAGGCTGCTTCCCTCCTTGGTTTAATGCAGTTACTTTAAGTGTGACTGTGGCTTAGAGGATTTTGTGTTCCCATCATGTGTTTTAATGCTGTGTATGTGCTGAGGAAAGATTTGACAAAGTGATTTTTGCAGTTAATTCTGTTCTGGACAAACGATCGTTTTTAGGAAGAATCAAATGAAGATCAGTGCATCACAACTAATGAAACATCAGACAAGGAGGACACAGGAGTTCCTCTGGTCCTCTTTGATGTCAGTGGTGACATCACTTTGATTTCTGGTTGCTCTGAGTGCCTTTGGTTGCTCTTTTGGCGCTGCTGATGCTTTTTGACTCAGAGTGCCCTGCACCAGTTACCACATCTGGGTGGACAGGATGGCAACTTCTGTGCCTTAACAAGCTGACATGGATGTTAGAAGGAAGATGACTTGTTCATAATGAACTACATACCAGCCATAATTCTGACTGCCATAGACACAATTTTCAGATATTTGTTTCATAGTGGGATTTGGCAGTGGGTGGGTTTTCCACTGACTGTGGCAACTGAAAAGCTGAAAGAACCTGGAATGATAGAGGGTGTTTAAAGAAGAGTAGCAAGGAAGAAAACTTTGCCTGCAGGTTATCTGCTTCAAACTGTTTCAGAATGTTTGTGTTGTAAACAGTTCAGACTTAGCCTTGAATTTTTTAGTTGCTACAAATTTTTGTGGTCATGGGAAGTGTCAATAGAAAGTGCAAAACCACAAACAGATGGTACTTGTTCTGCAGAAACACAAAGTTCTTGGCAAACCTGTACTGGAATTTTCAGGTCCAGAATATATTGCTTTAAAGTACATATTTTAATTTTACTGTATCCAAAGGAATATATACAAGTACTTTGTGCCAACTGTTTGCTTTATTCATTAGCTTTAAGCTTTTCCTTCTTTCTTGTGTTCAACATGAAAACTTCCTGAAAACAAACTTCCGTTTGTGGGTGAAGCTGTTTCAAGAGAGCTGAAATCTCTTTGCACTTGAAGCTTGATGGTAACTGTCAAAGGGATTTAGTAAGACTGTTCTTAGTTGGGCATTATTGATAGTTCTCTCTTGCCCATCTTTTGCCCATCTTGCAGTCACAAGTGCAGTGAGTTAAAATCCTGCTGTTAGCAGACTGCTTATTCTGCAGGTGTAAAAGAACTGGTATTTTCTTAGAGATGTTTTTTCAAAATAGTGTTTTACTTGGCCAGAAATGTACACTGTGCTCTCACAATGTCTTATAAAAGAGCCTGTACATAATGTATGTTCAGATAATTTTGCAGAGGTGTTATGCCATCCCCATTGGGATAATATGAAGGCCCATTTATGAGTGTGAAAATATATCATCCCACACAATATTTCTGTGGTCTTCAGTAGTTTGTTGTGGTATGTACTCTGAGAAAGTCTTGGGTTTGTGTGTTAAAATTTAATTTTGTAGGTTCCTTAAATAGTCTTCAGTAACAGGATTTGGAACAGATGGGAGACCTGTCCAGGTGCAGGTCACTGCAGTTGGTAAACTCTGGCTGTTGAGGCAGTTAGAGCTGTGTGTGTGACTTTGCAGCTCCTGTAATGACACAGTATCTACACTATCAGATGTACTGCTTCCCAGCAGACTGTTTTCAAATCCTGGTCAATGAACCAACAGGCAGTGTGAGTCATTTCTGAGACTTGGGTTAGGTTTTGTCAGGAGTTTCCTTCCCTTGGAGTGGTGACAATTGGGTCTCAGCAGAATGACAGGCAATGGAAACTTCCAAGTGATGCCAGAGGTTTATGCCTAGTAAAAACATGGGACAGTAAATATGTTCATAGTGTGAATGAGTGACCTAGTTCTTTAAATGTGCTTTCTGTATATGGAAGCAGAAGTAGAATTACACCCTTAAATGCAGAATGAATCATAAATCAGTGATTATCTGAGATTTCCTACAGTGTAGTTTTAAAAAACTAGCATATTTTTAATCCACTCCCCAAAAATTCCTTTGTTACACCCACAGTTTATATTGTCAAACAGTAAGACCCATGACACCAACAGATATTACTTACATGAAATGTTTAGATATGCACATGAATATGCATCTTCAGTTTTTATTACTCTGGTTTGTAAAAATGTAATACTAATATTGTGGCTGTATCTGAGGGTAGTGTTGGCACTACATGGTCATCACTTAACAAGCACCATGTGAACTGCTTTAAAATAATCAGACTCTGCTTTACTCTTCTGGAAAAAAAAATATTTAGGGCAGAGATATCTTTTCTATCCCTGTCAGCTTTTAGTTACAAGCCTGGATTTGAAAACTACAGACAGGTAGCTGTGATTGGGCTGTTATATAATGCAAGTAGCTTTCTCACCATGCATTCATTCAGTTTTACACCTTTATATATGTTAAGCTTCGAAGTGTCTGCTGGGAAGAAGAAAAGCCACATGTGAATACCTGACTCCATGAATAATATCTGGGGTATCTGACTTGTCAGCAGCCTCATGAGATGAATTTTGAGCTGTCATATACAGCAGCAGAGACATTATCAGCTGACAGCACAGAAAGGAAGATAGTACTCAAGTACTTAATATTATTTCCAAATAAATTGCTGCTTACACTCTTTGTGTCAGTGCACTCTGCAGGATTGACTAAACTGAATCTGCTGATAATTCAGGGTGGGTTTTTTCACCTATTTAAAACTTAGTACCGTTGTTTGCTCATCTTGCTGGGTGGTTCACCCATTTAAAACTCAGTACCGTTGTTTGCTCATCTTGCTGGGGTGAAAGTGGAATGCAGAAGTCCTGCTGTGAAGGGTGGTCCCTGGTGTATTAACTACCTTTTGGCTTCCCTGTATGAAAGTGCTGGTGCTTGAAGGGCATGTAGGATATAGCACTGGTTTTGTTCACTGATTGTATCTCTTATATGCCAGGAGGTCAGTGCATTTAAAACTCAGTACCGTTGTTTGCTCATCTTGCTGGGGTGAAAGTGGAATGCAGAAGTCCTGCTGTGAAGGGTGGTCCCTGGTGTATTAACTACCTTTTGGCTTCCCTGTATGAAAGTGCTGGTGCTTGAAGGGCATGTAGGATATAGCACTGGTTTTGTTCACTGATTGTATCTCTTATATGCCAGGAGGTCAGTGGATGCTTGAATATAGCGTGTATGTAGTTACCTGTGACTTGAGTGTTAATTCTTGTCTGCCTCTAAATTCAAAGTGTGTCTGAAGATTTTTGGTTGTTTTGGGTTAGATAAGAACATTGGCTGTTTTTTTCCAGACTGAGTATTAGCTTTGTTTTGTCTGTGGTACCAGAAACTTGTATTTGAGAATCTGTAGCAAGTCCCTTTCATAACTTCATGTGTAGCTGTTGGCTGTTCTGCTTATAAAAACAGGTAGATATTTATGGTGGTTTATGCAATGTAGGTCGAGATGTTGAGACTTGGGAATTTAATGCAAGCAATACCTAATGCAGATGTGGAGAGGTTGTAACAGAAGATCTAGGCTCATTTCTGTTCTGCTTCTGGCTATGCTTGGAGAGCTCAGAGTGCTGTCTGTGTTGTGCTGTCAGTTAGAATTGTATGCTCAAGCTGAGGAGTATAAATAAGTGATTCAATGAAAGCAAAAGGAACTTAAATGTTGCAAAGTGAACAGTAGAATCCTGAAAGTGTTCTGCCTAGGTTTAACTGAACGTCTGCTGTTTGACTAGGTACCAGACATGGCGGGCTACCCTCACATCCGTTACATTTCATCGGGATTGGATGGAACATCATTCAGAGGCCCTTTCAGGGGCAATTTTGAGGTTTGTAATAGAATAAAACTAGATACGTGCCAAAATGTGCCATGAGGGAATATGGGGAGGGTGTATGGTAGAGCTAGTTCTCTATAGATATAAAAAATCATAAAGAAAATACCCTTTGTTTATAGACTGCCCTTAACCATCGTGAACTGGGACAAAAGCATATGAAAAGTCAGTTAACAAAAGGTGCCCTAGACAGTCAGTCTTGCTCTGCTACCACCCCAGTTAGTGGGACAGTCTTTACATGATAAATTGGTAAAAGGTAGTGATGTGTCTGAATAACTGTGCCAGGATCCTCCTAGTGAGGTTGAAACTTGGCAACTTTAGCAGTGCTGTCCTGTTACACAGTGCAGGAGTTGAAATGGAGAGAAGAAAAAAAAAAAAACCAACCCAAGAGAAAGTGTATCAGATGCAGAGAGTTAATGACCTGACCACTGAAAACATCTTCAGTGACATCTCATGGTTCTAATCAACTCATTGCTGGAGAAAAATAAATCAGTCATTGTATTTCAACTTAAGCGACTTTGGTTTTTTTCTTCTAAACCTAATGACTGTTAGAAAGCAAATATTTACATAGTGTATTTTAATTGCCTTTTCCTCATTAAACACAAGTATGTGTGAACATACTGACAACCATTCCTAGCTGACAAACTATCTCTAATGTTTTTAGTAGTAGTGTTTCCCTATAGCTTAACGCACCAGGCAGTGTTGTGTGCGTTTTTGTACAGAAACCCATCACTTTTCCCACACAACATACTCGTTTTTGCTTTGCCTGTATTTGAATAAGTTGGGAAATAAGAGTTTGTCATTCTAAAAATGGAAATGGGTTAGAATAAAATTAGTATTTAAGTAGATGAAATAATAGTTCTTACACTGTTTATTCCATGATTTTTAGGAGCTGATTCACTTGGAGGAACGATTAGGCAATGTTAATCGTGGAGCAACACAGGGAACTATAGAAAGATGCACATATCCACATAAATACAAAAAGGTGAGGATTTCTCAAATTGTGGGCTGTCTGTAATGTTTCTTGGAAAATGTGTTTATGGTTAGCTGAAATCTGCAGAAATGTCAGCTTCAAGGAGTGCATGTTTTCTGTACCTTGACATTTCAGGGATTGTAAGCAAAGCTTACAATGATACTTTTTTCACAAGGGCAATTTGAAAGTTGGTCCTTAAAGAGCTACTGAACGTGATAAAACAAAGTGGTTTGATATGTCTGTAATGTTTCTTGGAAAATGTGTTTATGGTTAGCTGAAATCTGCAGAAATGTCAGCTTCAAGGAGTGCATGTTTTCTGTACCTTGACATTTCAGGGATTGTAAGCAAAGCTTACAATGATACTTTTTTCACAAGGGCAATTTGAAAGTTGGTCCTTAAAGAGCTACTGAACGTGATAAAACAAAGTGGTTTGATATGGTTTAATAATAATGATACTTTTTTCACAAGGACAATTTAAAAGTTGGTCCTTAGATAAAGAGCTACTGCACGTGATAAAACAAAGTGGTTTGATATGGTTTAATAACTTGTCCAGCAGTCATGACTAGCCTTGTGAGCAGTGAAATAGCTACTGGTAATAGCAAAATTGTCAACAGACTTCAGTGATAACTCATAAACTAAGACTATTCTTGCAGTAAATTGTTCATGATGCTTGGTATATATCATTTTAACCTTTGATCACATTAGGAAGACTTGGATACTAAGGAAGTTTTGAATTGGAACACTATTTTGACAACTTAGGTTGTCTCTCAATTGGAGTTTAGTGTATCATAATACAGAATCCCCTCCACATTGACATACAGTTCTTTTGCACTTGATAAATAGTGATTTAAGATATTAGGTTTGAAAGGATTCCTCTTGCCTTTAAATGTATGAAATTAAGATATTTGTACATGGGCAACAAGTAAAAGGATGGGTTGCAGCAATATGAAATCAATCTATTCACAGTCCAGTACACTTCCATAATTAACAGTAGTAGGTAAATCTGAAATGTTCTGGGTTTTGCTCCAAGTTCTCGATTCATTTAGGTTCAAATACATTTAATTAAATATTACAAAATGTATTCAAAGAAATATGTATTTGAATATGTATCAAAAACAGATTTTACTCAGTTTGTCAATGATGTCATCTCTACTAATAAGGTAACAACTGATTGGTTCTCACAGAGGAAACTGCACTGCAAACAAGATGGGGAGGAAGGAACAGAAGAAGACACAGAGGAAAAGTGTACCATCTGTTTGTCCATATTGGAGGAGGGTGAAGATGTCAGGTAAACAACACTGAAAAACTGCCCTGCAGTACTGCCTAGGTTAGCAGTTACTGTCAACTGCTACCTGTCATTGAGCTGATAAAATCAGTTGCAGCTGAAAACACAAATTATTCAGTCTGTCTTGTCTTTAGGTATCATGTAGGTTATTTTATTACTGTCTTCCATAAGTTGGCTGCCTGTATTATAACATGAGCCCAAGCTGATACCCTGACTTAACCAGCACTGTCAATTTTCATTTTTTGGGAGTAAATGCTACTTAGGCTGTAACAGGTTTAACTGTTAACAGCACAAGGCAGTTGTTGCTTGACTTCATTGCCCATATCCATTTCTTCTTGGAACTAGACAGAATGCAGGTTCAACTAGAAAGGCTATGAAACCTGTGGGAAAACATGTGACTGCAGAAAGAGCAGAGCTCAGTAGCAAACCTACATGGTGTTTTCCTGGGGGAATATTGCTCTGGCAATGCTTTATTAACACGACTTTCTCTGCTCTGACAACAGGCGCCTTCCATGTATGCACCTTTTCCACCAAGTCTGTGTAGACCAGTGGTTGATTACTAACAAGAAGTGCCCCATTTGCAGAGTGGACATTGAGGCTCAGCTGCCTAGTGAAAGTTGACACTGCTTTCCAGAACTCTTGTCCTCCCTCTCGCTCCCTCTCATCCTTCCTGGTACTGCAGTCAACCAAAGATGGCACGACTTACCTGCGCAGATTTGGAAGCATTGAACCCAGAGTGCTGGCTCTCTACATGGTACAACTAATGCTAGACCTACAGTTTATGTAGAAGACAGTTGAGTTTCAGTGTATTTATAAATAAATTTTTTTTTGGTTTGACAATTTTTTTCTTCTTTTAAATTCATTACTGTATTTTTGCATGGTTCCTTGTATTGCATTTGTTTGCACATATTCTGGGCTTTGTGACCCCAAACTTGCAGGCAAGATTAGCTGCTTTAGTAAGTAGAGTTGTGTGGTCTCTTTTTTTTTTTTTTTTTTTTTTTGGTTTGTTTTACCTAGTATCAAGCTTTGAAAGTATGATTTCACTCATTACTAACCTCAAACTCCTTAATTTAATCGATCATATATTTTAGTTTAATTGTATAAAGATCATCTAGAAAAGGATAATATTATGTATTGAGACATTCCTTAATTAGGAAAAAATGGCTGCTGTATATTTACAATATCAGTTCTGAGTCAAATAACATCCTTAATAGTGGGAACAGAATATGAACTATATTCAGTTTGACTGATACATATAGCATACTCATCACCAGAGTTTTTGTCTGATCAGATTTTTGTGTTTTTCAACTTTCAGCACAATGCAGATATATTTGAATGTCAATATTAAACATTTAGACTGCTGTTCAGATTGTATTTATCATTTTCTTCTATGTCTAGAAATTTGAATCCCTAACTTAAATATATGCTGCTGTGAAACAGCTCTAGTGAACACTAAATGTTGATTTCAGTTAGCTGGATTGTAGATACTTGCAGATTGAAAGAATTCTTAGGGAAATGGAAGAAAAGCTTAGAACCTGTTTGGTCTTCTGCTAACTTAAGTTGCAGTATCTGCGCACATTGAGGGTTGGGTTTTGTTTGGGGTTTTTTTCTGTTGTTGTTTGGTTTTTGTTGTTGGTTTGTGGTTTTTTTAAAATATAAAACCATTCAGTAAGGACTTAAAGCTGCAGGGTTTTTTGTTGGGTTTTTGGTTTTTTTGAGGTTTTTTTGATTGGGTTTTTTGGTGGGTTGGTTTTTTTTTGGCAGATACACATGCATTCATAGAGTTTTTAAGGATTCCAGGCTTGTCTTGGGATTTTTATTAGATATAATAAAGTTAGCTAAATCCACTTGTCTCTTGTTTTTATTTTTCATTAGTAAATTGAAAACCTGTAAATTTCTGTAGAAATTGAGACACAAATGATGTGGTTAACTAGTTTTTGCCTTGATCATAGATTCCCTCTTTATAAATTACCAACAGTCCATCACTGATTTAACTATTTTCTATAGTTAAGATTTGCTGCATAATATAGTATATAGAATTAAGTTATAATGTACTAACATTTTGCCTTTGGAGGAGGTTTTAATCCACATCAGGATCCAAGTTGCTCTTCAACATTCTTTCACATACAATAATCATAGTTTATTTAAATGTGCTCAACATTGCAAAATGCAAATGTGCAGAAATATTGAGACAGTATCACTGTCACTTTGGAAAAGATGTTCCTCGGGGATCATATATGAACATGTCAATTAGCTTGCATTAAGCCACCTGCTTTGTAAGTGGATTGAATAATAAATACCTTCAGTTTCTCTTGTCTTTGTCTTTCATAATCAGATTACATGTAAAATGGTTTACACTAAACCTAGGAGATGAACTGTTATGTTTACACTAAAAAATGATCCATTTATAAATATTACCTTGTCTGGTTTGATGCCTCTTTCTGTCTGCTCAAAGCTGCTTCCCTTTTATATATATATTTTTTTTTATCTGTCAGTAGTAGCAGTTGCCAGTGCAGTGTATTGCTGGCAACAAACTTAACAGCTCTGGCACTGAGGCTTTAAGCAGAGAGAAGTTTTATTCCAGCATGTGTGATAAATGGACCTTTTCAAGCTTAATTGCATTGCTAAAACTGAACTTAGAACCACTTTGAGCTTGTACAGTGGGGAGTAGGGGAGAGAGGCAGCACAGGATTTGACTGCTGTAAAACCTGACATGGTTTTATGCTAAAACTTCTTGAACATTGGTGGCTGTAGGAAACTGAAAGTCATTGTGGGCCTGAAGCTGCATTGTTAGAAATCAATAGAAGTTAACTTGGAGGGACTGAACAGGTACTTTGTTTTCCAGTGACTGTTGAAAAGAAAGGAAGTTAGTTGACCACTAGTGCTTGAAGACTGATGATACTCACTGCTAAAAGTTTCCAAGAAGGTACTTGAGAGACATGGGACAAAAACCCAGGACCTGTGAAATAGCTGAGAGCCTGGGCGTGTGATTAGTCTATTTTGGCTTCCTTACAGGACAAAGAGGCACAGGTTTGGGGGAATCTGTTTTTATTTTAAGAAATACTTTGTGTTGAATTTGAGTGCCTGGTACTAGAGGTATATTAGTGATCCATTAATTGATTTGTTTTATAATGGCTACTGATATTGTCTTGCTTTTAAATGTATGCATAACATTGTAATGTGATGTTGAACACTTAGGTATTTGTCAGGAATCACAGTGTTCTGATCTTAATGCTATTGCAGGGGCTAAAAAGCTGCAGCTTACTTCTGTTCCAGAAGGTTGTGACTTAACCATGATTTAAGGGAAGGAAAAAGAATAGGCTTTTCATTTTGAAAATTTCCACCACTTTACTGTGCTTTATATGCTTAGATGCATTGCCTTAAGTTTTCTGCAGCATCTTTGAAGATAAGATTCTCAACAGTATGCATCAGATTACTTTTCATATAAAATTCCATTGTCAAAAGAAATCCTTTTGTATGCAATAAATAAAATGTTAGACTGGTATCATTCAAAATCTGCTTATGCAAGTTTTTTTCTCCCTTGGTCTTGTTTTGCTCTTCTGAGTCCTGATCTGTAACCAGTTCTTCTCTGTACATGTACTCATTACTGCAGGTGCTGCCTAAGAAGAAATTCTAAGTGAAGGATCAACATTCAGCCACAGTTAATTATGCTGATAACCAGAAGCTTCTGAAGTTTGACGTTCAATGCCAATTTGGGGAAATCTGTAGAAGAGTTATAATTAGATTTTTCTGTCCGTTTAGGCAACTGCTGCAGAGTGGAAGTTCCTGCATCTCCGGCCTAGTTTCGTAACTTTTATTAGCTTGTTCCTGGCTTCCTTTGGTCATCTGTGACATCTCCAGCAACACTTTGGACTAGTCTCCCCGAGGGCAGAGTATCGAGCTGCTCCTCTGAAGGAGG